CTCCGGGCTATTGTAAATAGAGCTGCAATGAACATTTTGGTACATGAGTCTTTTTGAATTTTGGTTTTCTCAGGGTATATGCCCAGTAGTGGGATTGCTGGGTCATATGGTAGTTCTGTTTGTAGTTTGTTAAGGAACCCCCATACTGTTCTCCATAGTGGTTGAACCAATTCACATTCCCACCAGCAGTGCAAGGGTGTTCCCTTTTCCCCACACCCTCTCCAGCATTTATTGTTTCTAGATTTTTTGATGATGGCCATTCTGACTGGTGTGAGATGATATCTCATTGTAGTTTTGATTTGCATTTCTCTAATGATTAATGATGTTGAGCATTCTTTCATGTGTTTGTTGGCAGACTGTATATCTTCTTTGGAGAAATGTCTATTTAGGGCTTCTGCCCATTTTTGGATTGGCTTGTTTGTTTTTTTGTTATTGAGCTGCATGTGCTGCTTGTAACTTTTGGAAATTAATCCTTTGTCAGTTGATTAATTTGCAAATATTTTCTCCCATTCTGAGGGAGAATGTTCCATGAGCACTAGAGAAAAATGTGTATTCTGTTGTTTTTGGATGGAATGTCCTATAAATATCAATTAAGTCCATCTTGTTTAATGTATCATTTAAAGCTTGTGTGTCCTTTTTTATTTTTATTTTGGATGATATGTCCATTGGTGAAAGTGGGGTGTTACAGTCCTCTACTATGATGTGTTACTGTTGATTTCCCCTTTTATGGCTGGTAGTATTTTTCTTATGTATTGAGGTGCTGCTATGTTGGGTGCATAAATACTTACAATTGTTGTATCTTGTTCTTGGATTGATCCCTTGATCAGTATGTAATGTCCTTTTTTGTCTCTTGTAATAGTCTTTATTTTAAAGTCTATTTTGTCTGATATGAGTATTGCTACTCCTGCTTTCTTTTGGTTTCCACTTGTATGGAATATCTTTTTCCATCCCCTTACTTTCTGTCTGTATGTGTCCCTACGTCTGCAGTGGGTCTCTTGTAGACAGCATATATATGGGTCTTGTTTTTGTATCCACTCAGCCAATCTGTGTGTTTTGTTGGGAGCATTTAGTCCATTTACATTTAAGGTAATTATCGATATGTATGTTCCTATTCCCATTTTCTAAATTGTTTTGGGTTCGTTATTGTTGGTCTTTTCTTTCTCCTGTGTTTCTTGCCTAGAGAAGTTCCTTTAGCGGTTGTTGTAGAGTTGGTTTGGTGGTGCTGAAGTCTCTTAGCTTTTCCTTGTCTGTAAAGGTTTTAATTTCTCCATCAAATCTCAATGAGATCCTTGCTGGGTAGAGTTATCTTGGTTGCAGGTTTTTCTCCTTCATCACTTTAAATATGTCCTGCCAGTCCCTTTCTGGCTTTCAGAGTTTCTGCTGAAAGATCAGCTGTTAACCTTATGGGGATTCCCTTGTATGTTATTTGTTGTTTTTCCCTTGCTGCTTTTAATATGTTTTCTTTGTATTTAATTTTTGACAGTTTGATTAATATGTGTCTTGGCATGTTTCTCCTTGGATTTATCCTGTATGGGGCTCTCTGTGCTTCCTGGACTTGATTATTTCCTTTCCCATATTACGGACGTTTTCAACTACAATCTTTTCAAGTATCTTCTCAGTCCCTTTCTTTTTCTCCTCTTCTTCCAGGACCCCTATAATTCGAATGTTGGTGCGTTTAATGTTGTCCCAGAGGTCTCTGAGACTGTCCTCAGTTCTTTTCATCTTTTTTCTTTATTCTGCTCTGCAGTAGTTATTTCCACTATTTTATCTTCCAGGTCACTTATCCATTCTTCTGCCTCAGTTATTCTGTTATTGATGCCATCTAGAGTATTTTTCATTTCATTTATTGTGTTATCATTGTTTGTTTCATCTTTAGTTCTTCTAGGTCCTTGTTAAATGTTTTTTGCATTTTGTCTATTCTATTTCCAAGATTTTGGATCATCTTTAGTATTTTTCTGAATTCTTTTTCAGGTAGACTGCCTATTTCCTCTTCATTTGTTAGGTCTGGTGGGTTTTTATCTTACTCCTTCATCTGCTGTGTGTTTTTCTGTCTTCTCATTTTGCTTATCTTACTGTATTTGGGGTCTCCTTTTTGCAGGCTGCAGGTTCGTAGTTCCTGTTGTTTTTGGTGTCTGTCCCCAGTGGCTAAGGTTGGTTCAGTGGGTTGTGTAGGCTTCCTGGTGGAGGGGACTAGTGCCTGTGTTCTGGTGGATGAGGCTGGATCTTGTCTTTCTGGTGGGCAGGTCCACATCTGGTGGTGTGTTTTGGGGTTTCTGTGGACTTATTACGATTTTGGGCAGCCTCTCTGCTAATGGGTGGGGTTGTGTTCCTGTCTTGCTAGTTGTTTGGCATAGGATGTCCAGCACTGTAGCTTGCTGGTCGATGTGTGAAGCTGGGTGCTGGTGTTGAGATGGAGATCTCTGGGAGATTTTCGCCGTTTGATATTATGTGGAGCTGGGAGGTCTCTTGTGGACCAGTGTCCTGAAGTTGGCTCTCCCACCTCAGAGGCACAGCACTAACTCCTGGGTGTAGCACCAAGAGCCTTTCATCCGCACGGTTAATTTGGGATGATTCGTTGTCTATTCATGTATTCCACAGATGCAGGGTACATCAAGTTGATTGTTGAGCTTTAATCCGCTGCTTCTGAGGTTGCTGGGAGAGATTTCCCTTTCTCTTCTTTGTTCTCACAGCTCCCAGGGGCTCAGCCTTGGATTTGGCCCCGCTTCTGCATGTAGGTCGCTGGAGGGCGTCTGTTCTTCGCTCAGACAGGACGGGGTTAAAGGAGCCGCTGATGCTGGGGCTCTGGCTCACTCAGGCCAGGGGTAGGGAGGGGCATGGAGTGCGGGTCGAGCCTGCGGCTGCAGAGGCCAGAGGCCAGCGTGACGTTGCACCAGCCTGAGGCGCGCCATGTGTTCTCCCTGGGGTAGTTTTCCCTGGATCACAGGACCCTGGTAGTGGCGGTCTGCACAGGCTCCCCGGAAGGGAGGTGTGGATAGTGACCTGTGCTCGCACACAGGCTTCTTGGTGGTGGCAGCAGCAGCCTTAGCATCTCATGCCTGTCTCTGGGGTTCGTGCTTTTAGCCGTGTCTCGCGCCCGTCTCTGGAGCTCCTTTAAGCAGCGTTCTTAATCCCCTCTCCTCGCGCACCAGGAAACAAAGAGGGAAGGAAAAGTCTCTTGCCTGTTCGGCAGGTCCAGACTTTTCCCCAGACTCCCTCCTGGCCAGCCGTGGTGCACTAACCCCCTGCAGGCTGTGTTCACGCCACTAACCACAGTCCTCTCCGTGCACTCCGACCGAAGCCTGAGCCTCAGCTCCCACCCCCGCCCACTCCGGCGGGGGTGCAGACAAGCCTCTCGGGCTGGTGATTGCTGGCCGGCACCGATCCTCTGTGCGGGAATTTCTCTGCTTTGCCCCCCGCACCCCTGTTCCTGTGCTCTCCTCCGCGGCTCCAAAGCTTTCCCCCTCTGCCCCCCCCCAGTCTCCGCCCGCGAAGGGGCTTCGTAGTGTGTGGAAACCTTTCCTCCTTCACATCTCCCTCCCACTGGTGCAGGTCCCGCCCCTATCCTTTTGTCTCTGTTTATTCTTTTTTCTTTTTCCCTACCAAGGTACGTGGGGGGTTTGTTTCCTTTTGGGAGGTCTGAGGTCTTCTGCCAGCGTTCAGTAGGTGTTCTGTAGGAGTTGTTCCACGTGTAGATGTATTTCTGGTGTATCTGTGGGGAGGAAGGTGATCTCCGCGTCTTATTCTTCCGCCATCTTCCCGTCAATCCTAGTTCTCTCATCTTAAGGACTTTTCTAGCTGTTATTTTTTTAACATCTTTATTGGAGTATAATTGCTTTACAGTGGTGTGTTAGTTTTTGCTGTATAAAAAAGTGAATCAGATATACGTATACATATATCCCCATATCCCCTCCCTTTTGCATCTCCCTTCCACCCTCCCTATCCAACATCTCTAGGTGGTCACAAAGCATAGAGCTGATCTCCCTGTGCTATGTGGCTGCTTCCCACTATCTATTTTACATTTGGTAGTGTATATATGTCCATGCCACTCTCTCACTTCGTCCCAGCTTACCCTTCCCCCTCCCTTTGTCCTCAAGTCCATTCTCTATGTCTATGTCTTTATTCCTGTCCTGCCCCTAGGTTCCTCAGAACCTTTTTTTTTTTTTTTTTTTAGATTCCATATATATGTGTTAGCATAGGGTATTTGTTTTTCTGACTTACTTCACTCTGTATGACAGACCCTAGGTCCATCCATCTCACTACAAATAACTCAGTTTCATTTTTTATGGCTAATATTCCATTGTATATATGTGGCACATCTTTTTTGTTTACATCTTTATTGGAGTATAATTGCTTTACAATGGTGTGTTTCTGCTTTATAACAAAGTGAATCAGTTATACATATACATATGTTCCCATATCTCTTCCCTCTTGCGTCTCCCTCCCACCCTCCCTATCCCACCCCTCTAGGCGGTCACAGTGCACCGAGCTGATCTCCCCGTGCTATGTGGCTGCTTCCCAGTAGCTATCTATTTTATGTTTGGTAATGTATATATGTCCATGCCACTCTCTCACTTTGTCACAGCTCACCCTTCCCCCTCTGCATATCCTCAAGTCCATTCCCTAGTAGGTCTGTGTCTTTATTCCTGTCTTACCGCTCGGTTCTTCATGACATTTTTTTTTCTTAAATCCCGTATATATGTGTTAGTATACGGTATTTGCCTTTCTCTTTCTGACTTACTTCACTCTGTATGACAGACTCTAGGTCCATCCATCTCATTACAAATAGCTCAATTTCGTTTCTTTTTATGGCTTAGTAATAATCCATGGTATATATGTGCCACATCTTCTTTATCCATTCATCTGTTGATGGGCACTTAGGTTGCTTCCATGTCCTGGCTATTGTAAATAGAGCTGCAGTGAACATTGTGGTACATGACTCTTTTTGAATTATGGTTTTCTCAGGGTATATGCCCAGTAGTGGGATTGCTGGGTCATATGGTAGTTCAACTTTTAGTTTAAGGAACCGCCATACTGTTGTCCATAGTGGCTGTATCAATTTACATTCCCGTCAACAGTGCAAGAGGGTTCCGTTTCCTCCACACCCATGGTGGTCGTTTTTCCCAATCCATAGTTGTAGTCTGTACCACATTTTACCACCTCTACGTGATACTCTCTTAACTTTTAATAGACTGCTGACCTTCTAAGTCAACTATGTAAATAAAAGGATCTTAAAAGTAAAGGTACATTTAACTGCTAACCATATTAAATTTTGGTTGAATTCTGTACTGGGAAGCAGCCCACCATTTGACCTTGGAGAGCAATGCCCCAACAAAAGGTGGGAAAAAACCTGTGTGATAGTAGATAAACTACTTACTTTATTGTTAATATTTTTTAATCCACATAATTGGAATAAGACCTAAATACTTTGGGGTTTTGAATTGCTCCCGAGCTGAAAGAATGTTTATTGGATAATGAAAGAGCTTTTTATTTATTGAGAAAATTATTTTGCATGGAGTAATCAAGCTGATTAAGTTATAAACAGAGTCCTGAATTGATTAAACATAGAAAATGTCATTAAAAATGTATTCTGATAACAGTATATTAAATTACTTAAATATGCATGTGTAGAATATTAGAATTCAACTAGTATATTTTGTTTTCCTTTTCTCCTCATAGGATTCACAGTTTGATTCTACAACTGGATTTCTAGGTAAAACCATGGGAAAACTGAAGATTTTATCCAGAGGGAGCCAAACAAAGCTGCTGTGCTATATGATGCTGTTTTCATTGTTTGTCTTTTTTGTCATTTATTGGATTATTAAACTGAGGTGATGCAAGTCACTGAGTTTGGAATTTGTTCCAACTTAACGGCTTGGAGTACCACTTCAGTAAAAAAATCAGCATCAAAACATTCCTAAATTTCAAATAACACTATGGCATTTTCCATCGAACATTACTGAATTTTACTTGTTTTATAAATCACATTAGATAATACAGTGCTCTTTGAATACTGTTTCTTAATGATTCATTTTTTGCCCCTATTTTCAGGGGTATTGAGATGGTCCGAGGTCAGCCTGGCCCTAATAAGTTTTTTTCCTGTTTTTTGCTGTCAGGTTAAATAGCAGTATAATATCCTGTTGTTACCATAAATGTAGGTTTATGTTCCACATAAAGAAACTTAGTGGAAAATAACAATGCCTGGAGAGCCTTGTGCTGAGCTTTTGAGGTGGTGAGAAAGTTTGTGATGGATGGTAAATGCATTTTCCTGAACTGTCACCACCCCTGATGACGTACTCTCCTTTTCTCCTTTATTTGGTTAAAATTGTAGGCTGATTTCTTTTTACCTACAGGTTTCCTAATAATTTTTGATGATATGACTCTTCTTCTGCTTCTGCCCAAGGACCTCATTCTTTAATAAAACTTGTTATTTTGGCATATTTCTAGTAAGGTTCAAAACAAATGTGTACCCGTATAGTTGTCATTTTCTATTAACTTTATATATATACCATTGACTTGGCTTATAATAGTTTTATGATTTTAGCTACTTAGGCCATTTGGTTATCACTTATGACAGAATAATGTGAAGCTAAAGTAATTGCTAAGCTCTGAATGGAAATAAAATGTTCAAGAAAAGTAATTGCCTCTGCTTTATTATGTGCTCAGAATAAATATTGGAAATACTCAGGCATTGACCTTGCAGTTAAGGGCACTGTTACTTTAATCCAGTGTATTTGTCTATAGGAAACAAAATACAAAAGTGGACTGTTGAATAGAAAGAGATATTAAAATGTGAAATACTCCGTATTGCTACTATTTTGGAATTTGCCCATTTATGGGCTCCAAAAATAAAATTTTTAATGAAATACATTAATTGACTTTGTTGCTTCTTTGTTCAAGTCTCTCTCTTTTTTTTTCCTCCATAGACTGAGAAGTGGTTCTGAAAACTCAGAACAAACTCAGGAAAGCTTAACATATTTGTATTATTTCAGAACTTGCTGCAAACAAATGCGATAAATCATGACTGGTTTCAAAATTCTCTTTAATTCTTGTACATTTTTATTTAAAAATCTATTTTTGATTTTCCTGAGTTTGCGATCCTTTTTTGCTCATCCCTACTTAACCTATCAAATTTAGGCCTATCTTTTCTTGCTCCGCTTGTTGTCATTTGGGCCTCCACCTGACAGGTTAAAACTCTAGAGCTGAGAGGGTTAAGTGACAGCATGTAAGAGACAGGCCTGAGGTGTGAGGTGAGGGACACTGGTTTGGGTTAGATGACCTGGGTTCAAATCTCCATTCCTTCACTTGCTCAGTGTTTGGGGGCCTGTTTCTTCATTTAATCATCTATTTCATAAGATTATTGTGAGAGGAAGATAATATATTGGAAAGTGCTTGACACATGATAATGACTCAATAAATGTTAGTTCTCCATATCATGAACAGACATGTCAGAAAAGGGAGTAAATTTAAGGGCAAGACAGTAAGTTTGAGGTGAGGATATGACCTCCAAGTGGAAATTTGTATCAGACAATTAGAGATTGTTTTTCAAGAATTATTTAACTGTGTCCTCTGCCAACTATGTAACATCAGAGCTCAGAGAAAACTAAAAAATCATTGTCAATAATTAAAATTGCAGAAAAGGGAAGAAGAGAAGGCTAAAAAAAATGACCAGAAGATGGAAACAAGAGAATCAACAATGGAAATAGGTGAGATCAAAGCCTCAGGAAAAGCAATGATGGCAAGAGAAGGATGGATTTCAAGATTAAGGTTTGGCTATTATAAGAAAGTACTTTGTAAAGTATTAAAACACTATTTCAATGTTGGCTATTATCAAGGACGGGAGGATTTCAGGAAAAGGGGTTTGGGGTGATGTAAAAGTGATTCTCATCACTGCATTATCCAGCATTTCATATTTTACAATTCTTTTTTAAGAGCTGCCTAAAATAGGTCCCTAACCAGCATTTTATATCACCCCTCCCCATTACTGCCTTTGCTGAGATTCCTGGCAGGCAGGGAACTCTGGAAAGGTCTGTCTCTGCCCTATCAGGGATCCTTCTGCCAGCACCTCTTTCTTCCTTCTGCTTAGGGACCCCTAGGAAAAAGTACTTCGGAGAAATAAAATTTTGGGAAAACACCAAATATGGACAAGTTCTAATTCTTCATAATCCTTTACAAACTCATTGCTAAATCTGAAAAGGACTTTATTACTATTGGTGTTGGGGAGGTTGATTGTAATAACTGAACAAAATATCCACATTATTTTGAATTTTTAGTCAAACAGCGTAAGATTTGTAGGTGGTTGGGTGGTGGGTAACACACTATAAATCCTATATTTTAAATGGGAAAGGCAGCTTTAGAAAAATCTCAAGTGTCCGAAGTTTTTTCCGCAAAAATACCTGGTCACTTCATTTCACTAGGAGTTGGTCTTTGGAAGTGTGCTGACACATTTGCAAATAATAGAAAGTTTAACTTACCTGCTCCATCCCTTACAGATGCCAGGCATAGGTTTCCACAATGAGGAAAGGGAGAATTATACATAATAGTGATAGAATTTAAATCAGCATGTAAATTAATTCTTGACCAGAGAATCGTTGTCAAATCTAAAACGAATGGGCAACATTTGAAGCATCAGAATTCTAGAGCAGAAAACCCTAGCACCTGCACCCATAAAAAGCTTCTGTTTCTACCAAACTAGTTTTCCTAATTTTTCAGTGCTCTTAAATTTCTAATTGTATGTATTGAATTTGCTTCCTTGTAGAAAAAGTGGGAAAAGTGCTTGATAATTTGGGTTTATTCAGTTAGCAAATATGTTTATCAGGCCATATTGATGGATAAACTTTGACTCAATATTTACTGGGAAGTGGAATAGCATCGTAGCTAAGACTGAAAGCTGTGCAGTCACACTGCCTGAGCATAAATCCTGGCTCTACCATTCACATCATAACTTTGGGCTGATGACCTCTCCACCTCAGTTACTTTATTTGTAAAACAGGAATAAAAATTGTATATAGGTAGCAGTAATACACTCATAGGGTTATTATGATTAAAAACATGATATTCCTTATAAAGAACTTCAAATGGGTTCCTGGCACTCAATGGTGGCTGTTGCTTTTGTGGGTCTGTGGATGGGCACTTGGGAATTTTAATCACACCAGCCAGACAGAATTTTGGCTGCTTTCTCCCGCTCTCAAAATCCTGCCAAGGATAAAAGCAGCTGTTGGTCTTTTCTGGGAAAAGTCATCATTTTCTGGAATTTAGTTCATTTATGTTTCTTTGTATCCTTGGCCATCTGATGGTATTTTTTTTTAAACCTGTGACTTTTGAGTGTATCTGGCTTGAATTATTGGAGTGAGAACAACAGATTTTTTAACTTTCTGGAAGCAGAATTTTGGAGGGAGAGAGCTTAGTTTTCTACTTGCTAAAAAGTTGTAAACACTCCATTTGCTTTTTACTTTTTCTATCGTTAAATTTTTAACTTTCTTCTATTTTGAAATATTGATTAATGGTATGAGGTGAGGGGCACAAATGATTTTATTTTTAATTTACTAAGTGCCAACCAGTTATTCCCACAGTAAATATTAACACCTTTTTTTTCTCCTTATATGTTGTTACAGTACATGACAGGGTCATTTTCTTGTATATGTATTTTGTTCCATTCACTTTCTTTATCCTTGCACCAATACCACACTATTTTAATTATTGTAGTTTCATAGCATATTAATAGCCAGCACATATCTATTCAATTTATTCTTTCTGATGAACTTCAACATACTTTGATAATATTTTAATAAAGCATAGTGAATTTTGATAAGAATCACATTAATCTTTTATAACCTTCACTGAAAACAAAAAACGAAAACATTCCCCTACTGGAATGTTAGATTTTGACTCCAAGCAAATTTCACATTTTTTTTCATTATATATTTATATTTAATGACATATACTGGTAAACCAGCTCTCTTAGGGGTGGGGGGATTGATTCATAGTAATTTTTAATTTCTGTGGTATAAATATTTCCACCATACTTGATTTCAAGCTACCAAATGTAACAGCACTGAACACAGAGTTATGAAAACAGACGGACAACTGGATCTAATAATGTGGTACAAGCTGGCTCTAGTACACCACTGGTTACATTGATGATAAATATTCTTTTTAAAAATGTAGAAGTTATTTGTTTCCTAAATGAGAATCTCACACTTACATTTTAATAGGAAAAAACTCAGGCAACATGAACTTAAATTGATAAATTAACCAGAATAATATTTTTTTCAATGTCATATGTCAACTTTTTTTCTCAATATTTACGGGTAAACTCCTGCTACATTTATTGATCTCCCATTTTCTGGTAGTTCAAATACTGTGTACAAATTATGTATTTTAAAAGGTAGCTGATTATTGTTGTTCTCTATGCTTTTCCCTCCAGTTAAATGTTCAAACAGAGTGCAGGAATTGTTCTGGATATTTTATAAAGCTTTCCTCTTTATAGACAAATGTTACCTTAGCTGAGGTGTTCAGGTCTCGCCTGCTCGTCCTTTGAGAAGAGTTTTTCATGAGCCTTTAAAGGACTACCATATGCACTGAAGAGCTCTGCAAAGGGCCAAGTCCAGGTCTTAAAATAATCTTTCCTAATCTTCAAAATGAACAGAAAGATTGAAATACACATAAAATGTTTTTGACCAAAAAAATCATCCATATATTAGGTGTGAGACTTGAAAATTCACAAAAGCTTAGTTAATCATCTGTAACTTTAATAGTAAAGGATAATGCAAAATATAACCACATTATCCATTGTAAATGTTAGTATTCTACAAAGTGTTTACAACGCTTAAAAAGAAAAATTAATGTTTAATGGTTTCTTTTTACTAATAGGTCAACTTTGCAACTTCAACAAGGATCAATTTTATATACATAATTGTATAAAAATTGTTCTTACTGTGCTTTTTCAAAGATCCATTATCGTGGTGAGTCACATGAAAGCAGACAGCTGAATCTGCTTATGTCAGTATTTATGACTTCTTTCATGCCTACAGTGAATTTGGAAATGAGCAGAAAAATCATAGCACAGCTGAAGTAAAAGTCCAGATAAAACAGATACTGTATAATGAAAAACTTTGCTGTCATTAATTTATATTTTATAAGTATTTATAATTATTCCTCAACTTTATCTCATTAATGAATAAATCATCCTGTAAGTTGATAATTTATGAAGCTTTCTGCATTATTGAATAATCCATTGGCTTTAAAGCATATAAGCTAAGCTCTCTTACTTTCAAGAAAACTGGAGTGTAATTGTTATGTGAGATAACCTGTATTTCAGAAAATTTATTGGACTGGAATGCTTTAGTCTGCTTACATACAGATTTAATGCTTAGTGTCTTCAAAAAGTCTTTTAAAATATTTTAATCTCACATTAATGTATATTTATGTTTAAATTATTTGAACATTATTTAAACATTTTTAAAGGTAAGTTGAATTTGTTTTGTGTGCGTGTGCACACACACACACCAATTCCATACTATTAGATTAAAATTCCTTCAATATTAATGGATTCTCTTCTATGTTATTGCTTGAAAGACAAGCAAATTTCTGAATGGGGTATGCTATTCTGCTCCCTTAAACTATCTTTACTTTGCATTTACTTCTCGTGACTGAACAATTTAAAGTTAGTACTAAAATAGTTCTATTCACACAGAGAGCTTTTTAAAGGAGAGCAATGAGTATACATTCTTTTTACTGATTACATACTGTTTCATCCTCAAAATTCCCACGAAATGACCTCTTCCGAAGGCTTGGTGAAAAACTGAATGCCGAGGACAGGGTGTCTACCAATATTAGACTGTAGCAGATCTCCAGAAGTGTCTGGTG